ATGGGGGTTCATTATAAAATTTTCTCTACTTTTTGTATATTTAAATTTTCCCAAAATAAAGTGTGTTTTTATTTGTCTTTTTTTAAGCAATTAAAAATAGTGCTTCTCTTGGCCCTAATTCAGAAAAGTCGGGAATCCCGTTTGCTTGCTAGGACAGTGGGTAGAAGAAGAAAAGCCTGTCTTTTGGGGTAGTCCATTCATAGAGACAGAAAATAGAGTGGTGGTTACCAGGAGGAGCTGGGGGCGGGGGGCGAGGAGTGATTGTTTCATGGGTATACAGTTTCAGTTTTTCAAGATGAAAAGAGCTCTAGAGGTTAGTTGCACAACAATGCGAATGTACTTAATGCCACCGAACTGTACCGTTAAAAATGGTTAAAATAGTAAATTTTATGTTGTAGGCATTTTACCACAATAAAAAAAAAACAGCGCTATTTAAAAAGAAAAAGAAAAGGAAGAAAAGCCAGTGTGTGTGTGTGTGTGTGTGTGTGTGTGTGTGTGTCCCTCCTAGGCTGGCTGTGTGGACAGTGGCCTAGTGTGTGGTGAAGGGTTTAGGTCCACTGACTGTGTGGCCTGCCCAGAATCGCACTGGCCCCTGGGAATGGGAGGAGTCAGTTAGCCAGTTTGCAGAGGATCCAAAAATGTACCATTTGCAGGTTGCGCCCTCGCCACCAGCCACCAGCACTGAGGGCTCACGTGGGTGTGCCTGGCCTCCCAGGCTCAGGGTGAGTGCTTCAGTAGGTTTGGGATTATTATTTTTTTTTAATCCTAAAAGGATATTGATAGAGCTGTCACTGTTCAAATTTGGGATAAACATCCAAAAAGAAAAATGTAGACAGAATGATAGAATTGTTAAAAATTCCCTTTCAACCCCAATGTAGTAATTTATGCAGGAAAGGATCATCTGTGGATGTCCAACCATTGAAGGCTTTTGGGATTTTCACAGAGTCTCAAGATGTCACCTCACAGATTACTACTTACTAATGTCACAGGAAAATGGTACCTTTACAATGGAGAGATCTGGTGTCACCACCTTAACCAAGCGATCAAACATAGCATCACTGTGGCTGTGACAAACTGACACGTTATAACTCCTGATGTGGTCCAGGAAGAAGGACAAAACATCATCTCTGTGTGTTCTTGCCCAAACTGTTTGATCATGACGAAGCACTCAGTCCAGACTACGGGGCATTTTACAAGATAATTGGATTCATCCAAAGAGACAGTGTCATGAAAATCAAAGCAAGAATGGACCAAAGAACCATAACAAACACCATGTGTGAGCCTTGTTGGATCCTGGATCGAAAAAAACCCCAAGGTTATAAAAGATGTTTTGGGGACCCTTGCAGAAAAGTCAAACAGGGATTGAATACTAGAAAATGGTATTGCATTAATGCTAATATTCTTAGGATTGCTAAAAACATGATGATGCAGGAAAATGACCTCAGGGATGGATGGTGAAGTGTCCAGGGGGGCATGTCACATCTGCAACCCAACTAGAAATGGTCCGGCAAAACCAGTATTTATGTATACAGGCACGCGCGCGCACACGCGTACATACACGCACACTCAGCAAACGTGGCTCAGTGTCAGCCATTGGTGAATGAATCTTGATGAAGGGTCATCTGGGTTTGTGCTTCTGTTCTTTCATCTCTTCTGTAGATTTATTTGGAAATTTTTCCCAATAAAAAGCACACCAAGCATGTTAAAGAGACTCTGTGGCTCTTTTCTGACTTGGAAAGGCTGGGACTTCTGTCCCCCGCAGCTCCCAGGGGACCTGCCTGAAGGCTTCCAGGCATCTGTTGTCTGTGCCGTTTGTCTTGTCGATAAGGAGCCAGCAGCTGAGTGGCGGTGCTTGGTGGTGGCGGTGCTGAGGACAAAGAGCTGGCCCCACTCACCATCGTGGGAGGAGGGGAGGAAATAAATGTCTGCCAGGCACGTGCAACACCAGGAAACTCATAAAATCTTTTCTGGCTGTGAAATGTTTTGTGCTGGGGAATCGTCGCTGAGCTGGTGTCAGCAGGCCAGCTACTACGAGCAGAGGCTGTGAAGTTGCTCCTAGGTTCTCTGACCTTTTTCTGAGTCTCTGGGGGATCCGGATAAACCCTACCTGGCAGGATCCAGTGCGTGCGCAGCACAAAGCACAGTGCTCGGCCCAGCACAGGGCTCTGTGCACCTCTGTGTGCTGGGCACTGGGCACGTTTCGTTCTGTGCAGCCATTTCATATCCACGCGGGGCACATTCCTAGGTGGGAAGTGAGAGGCCTGTGGAGCTTGGTACTGTTATGTCAGCGCCACCATGTTGAGAATTCAGATCCCCCTCTGCCTGGCGCTGGCCTCCTGCATGGGTGGGTCCGCAAGAAGCAGCAGGTGAATTGAGACTCCCCAGTAAACATGGCCCATTCCATTCCTGGGTAATCCTCTTGGGCCTTGGTGGCTGGCGGAAACAACAGAGCTCTGAAAGGTCTGAAAAGCACTGAGGGCAGGGAGGAAAACTAAGCTGATTGAGCACATCTGCCAGTTGACATAGATGGCTGGCTGCCTGCCTGCTGTGCCATGGAAGGGTCTTAGTGCCACCCCCAGCCCCCAGCACGATGCCTGCCTGTTTCTACCGGCACTGTGACCGTCACCGTGCCACCTTCTGTTCCGGGGACGAAAAGAGAGTTTGTATCTGTTGAGTGCCTGCGCACAGTGTTGACCCAGTTTAGCACAAGGTTCGGGGAAAGCTTGACAGTTTTGCAAAAAAAATTTATATTGTTTCTTTCTTTTTAAATTGCCCAAAGAACACAAAATCATTGGGGAAAAAAATTAGGAAATACAGATAATCAGAGATCATCAGAGGACAACTCAAATGGCATAAAATTTCACTATCCAGAGAGAACCAGTCCTTCTCTCAACACATATTCCCTGGGCACACCAACTGTGTGCCAGGGACCGCGCTGGGACCTGGTGACATGATTCCTGTCCTCATGGGGCTTAGACCTGTTAAGTATCTATTAAGGATCAGGGGCTGGCCAGAAAAATTAATAATCAGTACTCAACAAGCAGTCTTGAGTGTGAGCAGGGCCTTGAGGACATCCAGTGGCCTCTGACCTGAGCACTGGAGGACACGTGATGTGGTGGGGTCCTGTGCTGGGGGAGGGAGGGTGTTGGGACATGAAGCAAGGCCTGGTCATCCAAGGCCCACCCCAAGATTTCCAGCTGCTCGAGAGGCCGTCCCTCCTTGGGCCGCATTGACCTTGCCTTTACCTGCCCGAGTTACCCCTGCGTGTGTGACAAGGGAAGGTATATGCTTTGGAGGTGGCACTGTGCCAGGCGGAGCTCCTGATGGATAGGGCTCCGGAAGATGTGTCTGGGGGTGCTGTAAGCTGCTGAGGAGCCGGTTGGCAGTCGTCTCTGCTCCTCCCTGTGTTGTACATTTCTCCATATTGTACCTTTCCACTCTCTCAGCTCCTCCCCATCAAAGACCAGAGGTTCATGTCACGCCATCTTCTTCCACGTGGTGGGTGTTGTCAGGCTCGCCGAGAAGGTGGAGATGCGGGCTTCCCAGAGTCGGCATTTCCCTCCTCAGTGACCTGTTTTGAGCCTGCCTGAGGAGTGTGGTGTAGCTGCTGCAAGGCAGCCTGGAGTGGTTACCCCCTTATCTCTCCTAAAAAGCATGAAAGCCTGGTGAGAACTGGGTCAGAAGTGCTGGCAGTTGTGCACAGGTGTGTGGACACTTTGTTGGCTGTTCCCTTCATTGGCATAGACTGTGCTTTGAGCTCAGCTGCTTCTTCTGACACTCGCTCAGCAGCTGCTCTGCACCCAGTGAGGTTGAGCTTGGAGGCTCCAGGTGACCAGAGCGAGGCCAGGACTCAGGGCTCATCATCTGAAATGGGGGTCAGGCAGTACGTGGGGACTGTGGTCAGGGAGGGCTTCCGAGGGGCAGTGGCTCTGAAGGTGGAGGGCAAGGCGAGGTTGGTGGAATGGAGAGGGGATGGCGAAGGGTGCTGCAGGCAGAGGGGCTGTGTAGACGAGGCTTACAGGCAAGACCTCAGGGCCTTCAGAGCTTGGCAGTGACGGAGGGCCCCCCAGGGGTGCGAGGTTTCCCGGGGGGGGGGGCGCCTGTTAAGGCTGGGGAGTTCCCCAGCAGCCCCACCTGCAGAGCCTCCCACAGCTCCCCAGCCACAGCCCCTGCACCGTGACCCTCACTGAGTCTGACCCCAACTGCCACTGGCTGCATCTCTGTCCTGAGGGCGACTGCCACAGGCTGATATGTCAGGGCTTTGGTGCCCTTGGCCAAGGCCCGCATTCTACCGTGTTTCTCAGCATTCCTCATAGGCATAAGCTGCAGTTGTCCACGGTGGCGGCACACTTCATAATGTGCCCTTTTTGGCTTTCTTCCCTTCCTGGCTTCTCCCACCTATCCACCTTTCCTAGGCTAACTTCCCAAGCAAGCTGTTCCTGAGAGAACCCTAAACTAAAAACCCATCGATGGAGCTTAAACTCCATCGGGGAGCTATTGAAGAGCTTTTCCACATCTGGAGGGACTGGATCAGATTTGCAGGGTCATTCTGACTGTGGCCTGACCCTCTGACCAGCCTTGAGGTTGAATTAGTGAGGACCAGACAGGAGGGCTCCCCTTATTCCCCAGGCCCTTACCCCTGTTGCTCCCTGCTATTGAGCACCCTCTGTGTTGCACGTGCTGGTCTGAACATTGGGTGTGCATTTTCTCATTGCATCTGACAAAAGCCTTATGCGATATAGGGTTCCATTTTATAGCTCAGAGAACTGAAGCACAGAGAGGGTAAGACACTTGTGCATGATCACACAGCTGGAAGAGACGTCTTGGGGATTTGAGCCCACGTTTGACAGATTCGGAGTGTGTGCCCTTACCCCCTCGGCAGTGGCGCCTTCTGGCTTTCTGTCCTCCCTGCCGGCACCATCTGGGCACCACTAAGGTGGGCCTTTACTTCCTAAGTGCAGAGGAGTGCCGTCTTCCAGTAACCTCTGCTTCTCCCACAGGTAAGTTCGAGGACAGGGAAGACCGTGTACCCAAGCTGGAGCAAATCAACAGTACAAGGATCCTGAGCAGCCAGAGCTTCACCCTCACCAAGAAGGAGCTGCTGAGCACAGAGCTGCTGCTCCTGGAGGCCTTCCACTGGAACCTCTGCCTGCCCACGCCTGCCCACTTCCTGGACTACTACCTCTTGGCCTCCGTCAGCCAGAAGGACCACCACTGCCATAGCTGGCCCACCGCCTGCCCCCGCAAGACCAAAGAGTGCCTCAAGGAGTACGCCCAGTACTTCCTAGAGGTCACCCTGCAAGGTGGGGCCCCATGTCAGGACCTGTCAGCCCTTCCCTGTCCAAGAGGCATTGTCCATCCTGACTGGGGGGCCCATCCACCCAAGTCATGCCCACTTTGCAGGGAATAAGCAAAGAAGGAGCGAGGGTTTGCCCAGTGTGTTACCAGTCACGTGTAAAAGAGAAATAGCAACTTATGTACAGGCAGCTGCTGTCCTACAAAACTCACTGGGCACCTGGTAATGTTTCTTAACGGTAACCTCTAACATTGCAGATTATCTAAGTAGCACAGATTTGCAGGGAGGTCAGTCTGGAAGGGCTATCATCGTGTAGATGGAATGAGCGAGGGGATGATGTTTACATCCACTTGAACAATAAAGGTACCCTGTTTGGAGACTTGTATTTGAATCTCACTCTTCCCAGTGTCTTAAAATCTAGGTATTAGATAAAATACTGCGTCAGGACTATAATTGATACCACCACCCGATAATCCACCACAAACCAAAATAGTCTTGAGTAGTAACAATACCAGTCGTGATATCAAACATTACTTGATCACTTACTATATACCAGGCTCCTTATTTTAGTGCTTTGCTTACATGACCTCATTCGAACCTTCCAATGACGCCACATGAAAATAATTTCTGCTATTCTCATTTTATAAATCAGTTTCCTCAACTGATGCTCAAGAGGTGAGGTAACTTACCCAGGGTCATTGCTAAGATTTGAACCTGGGGGTCTGACTCTGTGACTACCACCCTGATTGATTTCATACTTTGAACAAGCAAATGTTGAAATCATCGAAAATCGTAAGTAATTTAAGGCAATGTGATAATTAATGCACGGCTAACAAAGTGTCATTCATGAAAATTGTGGAAATTTCAACAGTTTGCCTTTGCCATGCTGCCAGATATCTCAGTAGGACATTAAGATTTCTCAGATCATTTCACAGTGTATATACATATACTAGAACATCATGTTGTACACCTTACACATGTACAGTTTTTATTTGTTGATAATACTTCAATGAACCTGAGGGGTGGAAGTTCCTTAATAAACATAAGTCAAGCACCAATTTCAGTTCTGACTATCAAACTCTTTTGGCCATTCATCCGACAGAGTTTTATTAAGTGCCTCCTGTGGTCCAGGCTTGCTTACTATTTCTAAGTAGCCTTTAGTCACACCCCATAACAGGAGCCTTTGAAATGGTGTTTCACTCATCCCTAACAACCAAAGAAAGGACAAATGTTTTGTGGTTCTGTTTGTAGCACATCAGTAAACCTCTTGCAGCCCCCAGAAGCCATGGATGATATTTTGACAATCACTGCTCTAGGCTGACATCCCGGACTGAGGGCCAAGGTTCTTAAGGTTCAAGAATGGACTCCATGCTGTGTCTACTTTTTCACTGTGTGTATGTGTGTGTGTGTTTGTCTGCCTGTCTGTGCATGTGCGCAGTGAACGGCCTTAAACTTGGGGGACACAAGACAGGTGGGGCACCAGGCCTCGAGCTGAGGCTTTCTGATGCCAACGCCCTCTGTGATTCTTTTTCAGATCATATTTTCTATAAGTTCCAGCCTTCTGTGGTCGCTGCAGCCTGTGTTGGGGCCTCTAGAATTTGCCTTCAGCTTTCTCCCTACTGGACCAGAGACCTGCAGAGAATCTCAAACTACTCCCTGGAACACCTCAGCACATGCATCGAAATCCTGCTGGTGTAAGTGCCTCTCTGGATCCTTCCATGTGTCAGAAATATCGAGGTTCCACTTGAGGCCCAATTCAGGTGATTTCCCGAAGTCTGGGGCTTATGGTGTGTACCCCAGCTCGTGTTTCACATAATGTAGGCCATGATGATCCCTGATAGAATTGAGGTTTGGAGAGTTGGCCCTTCTTATTTTGGGTAGCTTTGGGTTTGCAATTTTAAGGTCAAGGAGTGAGGGGCTGTGTGCACATCCTTCTGAGTGCCTGGGCTCTTTGATCTGAGTCCTGGGCTATCGGTCAGTCTTATGGACGATCACATTGAGGGGCTCTCATTATAAGCTGCTTTTTTTAGACATGGCCACAGAGCTGACTCTTAACCAGCTAAGCCCAGAGTGGTTTAACATAAGAGTCTATAGCCTCCTTGCAAGGATCCCTGGGAATCTTGGGGAGGAAACGTTCAGTGTGTCAGAGAAGATGCTTAAAGGCATTGTAAACCCAACACCATGAAACTGACATCGGAGGCCAAAGAGCTGAGTGGTGACCGCAGGGAGGAAGACCGAGGACCTGGCTGCACCCAGTTGCTCTTGCACCCGACAGGTGGCAACATCTGGATGCTGAGCCCACTGACCACGGGGCCCAGCCCCTGAAGAACCACCTCTCAGCCTCCTGATGTGGGAAGCTTTGCCAGTAGTTGCCCTTAGTTCATTCCTCTGAAATGTCAGGTCTACTCCCTGGGCTTTGTTTTAAAACCTGTGCCTTTTAGAACGCACCCAAAGCCAGAGAACATGGTCTGGTCTGAGTGCTGACAGATAACCCTTGGATTTTTAGCCACCAGCCCTCCCCCTTCATGGCTGTCACTCTGGGATAACCCCGCTCTCAGACTTGCTGTAGCCTGCATTGGTTTCTTTATTACACAAGCCTCTCATAGACTTGTTTTCCCAAAAAGCTTATGGGAACCTTTTTTTTTTAGATGATAAGAAACCTGTTCCATTCCACTTTACGGATGGAGAAACTTAGGCCTTGCGGTCAACTTGCTTGGGATCTGCTAGCTCAGGAGTGACCCAGCTGGGGATAGAACTAGAAGTGCTTTGAAGGCAGAGGTGGTGCTCATCTAAGCACCAGCTCTTCCCCCTTGGGTGGGCACTGTGCCAGGTGTGGGGACGCAGTGGTGGGCAAAAGCAGACAATGTCATCCCTCTCAGAGCTCACACTCAACACAGGAAGCCAGGTAGCAACCTGGAAGTTATCGCCTGGGGTATTGTCCGCAAGATGGTCCAGCACAGGGGCTGTGGGGACAGCTAGGCTAGTAGTGAGGGGTCAGAAGAGGGTTTCCTAGGAGGCAGACCCAAGCTGAGATCTGAGGCCTGAGGTTGGTCAGAGAACAACTGAGATAAGGCTGGGGGCAGTGAGCACAGACTGGGCAAGGCCCGGCGGTAACAACTCACAGACCTCGGATCCCACTTAGCAAGGCAGGTCGAGGTGCTCTCAGGTGTCTTGTGTTATGGCCTTTGACCTCTAAGTCTCACCCAGGTTCTTCCCTTTCAGAGCTTATGACAATGTCCTCAAGGACGCCGTCGCAGTCAAAAGCCAGGCCTTGGCGATGGTGCCTGGCACACCCCCAACCTCCACCCAAATGCTGTTCCAGCCACCTGCCTACCCCACCCTCAGCCAGCCGACACCGGTGGCCCTGGCACAGTTCCAGACCCCTGTGCAGGACCTGTGTTTGGCCTATCGGGACTCGCTACAGGTCCACCATTCAGGGACCCTGCTCTCAGGAGGCACTGGCTCATCCCTCCATGCCCCGTACCCCACCCTCCAGTCCCTGGACGTGTGTCCCATGCCGCTCCCCGCATCCCTCAGCATGCAGATGGCCATCAGAGCTGAGCCCAGGCACTGCCTCGCCGCCACCTACAGAAGCAGCTACTTCAGCGCGAGCCACGCGTTCCCCACAGGTTGTTTCGACAGATAGGGCCCCCTTGGGCCACACGGAGGCCTTGGAGACTCAGGCAGAGGAAGAGGACACTGACAAGGGAAACTCGTCAGAGTGAGGTGACAGGGAAGCCGTCCCCACAGAGCCTCATTGCCCTTGAACAGAGAGGGTCCGTGCTTTTTCTTAAATAAAACTGACCCAGAGCAAAACTGTCGATGAGATACCTCACCCAAGAGCATTCCTCCGGAAACGTCTTCCACGTGTGCCTGGGGTGCAGGGAGAATGGCTCAGTGGCTGTCCCTTGGAAGAGGGGCCCAGCGAACCCTGAAATACCTGTCAGGAGGCCAGGAGACCAGGAACCGGATGCAGACACCAGTCCACGAGTATGTCCGGTGTTTAGCCGAAGGCAGCTACACCACTGAAAAAGAAGGGGCAGCCCGACGTGTCCTCAGGACCTCGGTATATGCCAGATTGGTGCTTTCCCTTGCTCCATGCAGAGGGGCCTGTGTGTGTGTGATGCCTGAGCACGGTGGGCAACTCGCTTGCCTTTGTTGTCGAACCTTAGACATTTCACGTGCTGCTGCTTCCCGAAGTGACCTAGCTTTCTGTTCGTTAGTCTTGTTTACATACTGTATCAGGGATTTTGTGATACTTGAAAATTCCTTAGGAGAAAAACAAGATTGATTGCCATCCTGCCTGTCCCACGCACGGGCTGTAGGTTTTGCCCCTGCTTGTGCCTCACCCGTGGGTAGGAACAGAACTTCCTTTTCAAAAGCATATGGTTGAGGAGAACCACTTTCCAGGCTCTTGATTCCAGAATATTCCGTATCTTGGATGCTGTGTTCACCTGTAGAACTTCAATAACCACCCAGAGGTAAAAGGCTGTTGGAAGGTTAGACAAAGGTTTAAAACCAACATCCCCACCTCTCTCTACCACCTGCTTGTAGTGCGTGAGGTTCACTCCATCCTCGGCTTTGAGTTTGGCTAATAGCAAAGGATAATAATGAGAAATGTGTGCTTCGTGCCAGCTGGATTTGGGGAGTGGGGGGTGTCTATGATACCACCACTGACAGGCAAGCGATCGGTTGGATCGAAAGCCAGTATTTGGGTATCTGCAGTGAGGGGGCTCTCAGGAAGACGGGTGACCATGTGCAATATGTTGTTGTTCTGACTCGCGGCTTGCGCTCAGCATGTTTGTTTGTTTTTTTGGTTGGTTGGTTCGGGGTCGGCGGACACGTTGTTCCCCCAACAGAACCAACAGAACTGGGAGGTGCAAAGAACCACGAAAGCATTTTGGTTTGTTTGTTTTTTTAAGAAGAACCCATGTTGGTTTTCTTGACTCGCTTGTCCGTCCAGGAGACTGTGGCAGGGGGACTGCCAGGAGGTGGCGGCGTGCTGCTGAGTCGGATCCAAAGGTGATTTTCTGAGCAGAAGAAAGCCTCAGCATGGAAGCGGAGTAAGAAGAGAGTAGGCATGGATATGGCGCTGCCACTTTGTCACACTCGCCTAGGAAACTGCACATTCGTTTGTTTTTCTCTTTTTCCTTTACCAACCTCCTATTTATGTGCACCTGGTTCGGATTCCAAGTTATCGTGTCTGTTTATTCTGCGGCTGGGGGCTTGCGAGGGGCCCCCAAGCAAAAGGTGTCCAGCAATAAACACGTCACCTGCTTTAGGTCTCTTCTGAATGTGCTCCTCTCGGCCAGCTGCCCCCCCAACTCCACATCAACCACTGTGGGTGTCTCTGCTTATACTGGGGGTAGTGTCGGGGGCACGGGGAGAGAATGGGCAACAGCGTAACTGGCTGCTATGGAACTGGGTCTGGCCCTCTGGGTTGGAGCTGGGCCTCCCAGGGGATACGGGCAGCAAGAATGACATCCTGGCTTACCACTGAATTGGTTAACATTCTCTAGAAACAGAATCCATTTTACATATAGCGAGAGAAATTTATTTTAAGGAATTGGTTCCACATTGCAAATGCCTGGATTAGGGTCACGGTCAAGGTTGTACTTCCTCATGTCCTCCCGGCTCAAAGTCCATCTCTCCAAAGCCATCTGTTCTCACATCTGAATTCTTTTCTCCCTTCATCCTTTGTTTCAGTGATTCTTAGCAGGGCTCATTTCTGCTCCCCAGGGGACACGTAGCAATGTCTGGAGATATTGTCTTCGGTTGTCACAATTGGGGGAGGGGAGTGACTGGCATTTCGCAAGTAGAGGCCAAGGATGCTGCTCAACCTCCTACAATGCATAGGACAGCCCCCACCACAAAGAATTATCTGGCCCAAAATGACAATCGTGCCAACTCACATGTCACCTCCCGAAGAGGTCTCTGTAATACCCCTAATCACTCTGTGCCCATTTTATTTTTTTTTTGCTGTTAAACGCTTGTGAAATTATCTTGTTAATTTGTTTACTTGGTTTGATGGTTGTACCCTAAGCTGCCTACCCCCCAACAGAATATATAAAATATCATCTGGTGATGGTGACACTAATCATAGCAGGTGGCATTTCGTGAGCATTTACTGTGTATAAATCACCGTGCTAAGGACTTTGCTGACATTTCCTGTAATCATCCTCTTAACCCGACAAGGTAGGAACTATTATTAGCTGTATTTTACAGATCAGAAAATGGGGCACAGACAGGTTATCTGCCTAAGGACAGCCGTGGTGAAGGAAGGAGCCACCACTCAAACCCAGGCAGCCTGGAGCTGCCCCACCTCCCGGCGGTGCCTCAGTCAGGGTTTTAAATTAGTGAAAGACCTCATAGCTGTTCTGCTCATCTGGTGGGAAGACATGACAGAATAATGGATATGGGCTCGTAGGAGAAAAGAGTTGCCTGGCGTGCGTGCTCCTGACTTACAGAGTGGCAGGCTTTCTCCCAAAGCATGCCCACCAGCAGACAGAAATACAGAAACAGAGCTTGTTCTACATCTGCCAACGGGCTAATGTAATTTACGGCTCCATCTGTCTGCCCCCAGTAGGCTCTGATCTGGGAGGGCAGATCAGAGCCCCATCTGTGAAGGTGGAGATCGGGCTGGCTTGGGGCACCCCTGGAGCCTCCCCTGGGAGGGACCCTGCCTCTGGGCTAGCTCTGGCAATGCCAAGTACCAAGTGCCTGGAAAGGAATCTTACCGGCCCTCATTACCTCATTCTCTGTTCTGCAGGGAAGAACTTTGTGACTTGAGTTTCAGCAGAAAGCCCATATCATTTGACAGGCGTCTAAGCCCAAATGCCCACCAGGACCAGGCAGGGAACAGTGAACCCAGCTGGGCGATGGAGACAGCGTGAGGTGCTGGGGACTGTTGCAGCCAGTGTCCTACTAGAGGATATGGCTTCTACTCAGCTCTGACCAGTGACACCTTTCAGGGAGGTAAGCTCTATGTTGCTGAACCTTCAGATTTCCAGAAAAACTAGAAATCTATACTTTTTAGGAAATTACTAATTTTTCATTGAATTTAAAAATGAAAAGGTTTTCACACAATAGAAGACCAACGAAACACACTAGGTTTGAATGATTCTTGGGATGGAAGCTTGCAACTTGTATATAGACAAGAATACTGGGCCTGAGAAGTGGAAGGTGTGAGTTCATCTGTCCGTAGCTAAATGACCTTGAAAAAAGCTACCTCTCTACTCAGAACCTCTCTCATTTGTAAGTCAGGAAGGCTATCTGCCTTCACTTCAGGTTAATGGTAAGAAAGCATGGAATAGGTGGTGTTAGCAGTGAGTTCTGTGAGGAATATTGTAAATAAATAGGCTCCTTCTTTGGGGGCTCAGATGAGCCTCTGAGCTTCACTTCCCTCCAGCCCAGCTCTAGCTTTAAAGAAAGGACTCAGGTGGTCAGGCATCTGCTGAGCCAGCTCTGACCGCGTAAGACCCCTGCCCTTGCCGGAGACAACAGCAGGCAGGATACACAGGAAGTCAGGCCTTCCAGTCCCTAGCCATGTGGAGCTAGGCAGGTGATTTCCCCTTTCTAGATCACAGTTTTTTCATCTGCAAAGTGGGAGGGTTGGGACTGGAATCGTCTCCAAGGTCATGCCTGGCTGGGGAGCACTTCACAGTCTTTGTACCTAAAGAGCCCCATTCAGCAGGACCCCCAGGAAAAGCACATGCATAGCCAAGTTTGGACAATTTTCTCTGCTCAAAAAGCTCTGACTCTATGTACCCTTTCTCACCAGTGGAAGCAACCAAGAAGGGCCCTTAACAGCTGTTTAGTGAACACTTACTATGTCCCAGGCCCTGTATTTGACACGTCCCTCGTGCTCTCTTATTCCCCCTCCTCTGATTTTGCCCTCACAACACCACCATGAGCTAGAATTATCACCACCATTTTCCAGATGAGGATACTGAAGGTCAGAGAGGTTCAAGGCCTCACCATGGTCAAGTGGTGGGAGTGGGTTTTGCACTTAGATATGCCTGACCATGTGGCCTCCAATTCCTTGTCACCCCTAGATGACACATACACACACCTGCACCAAGGCCCAATCACAGGATTTCACGCCCCCTCCCACTTCACCCCTCCCTTTCCCAACATAGACTTTGGCCTCCACGGGGCTGCAGGCGGGTGGTGCAGTGCCACCTAGCGGTGGTCTTTAAAGATGCTTTGGGAGGCTCCCGTTTCACTAGATGAGCTTGGCAGGAGGGAAGAGATTGCCCTGGCGGAGTGGAAGAGATGACTCCCAAGGGTCAGGGTGAAGGTCACGAAGAGCCTGGAAAAGGGCACCTGAACTGAGTGGGCAGTCACTACAACATCTTCAACAGCACAGCAAAACGATGAAGCTCCTCTAAGTTTCTGGAAGCCATTAGCATGGATTTTTACCCTTTATCTTTGCAACCTCTCTGTGACCCAAGGGATGATCTTATTAGCCCATTTTACACATGGACCAGTTAAGACTCTGAGCCGTCCAGGGGCTTGTCCACATGCCTCACAAGTTAGTGGAAGAGGCACTCCTAAACTCTTTTATCACACTGGCTTGTAAATGATGGTGATAATGGAGGCGATGGTGGTCGTGGTGGCAGTGGCCACAGCTGAGAGAGGTTGTAGCATAACAACTCTTATTACCATGTTTCCCCAAAAATAAGACCTAGCCGGAGAATAAACCATAGCATGATTCCTCCAGGATGTAGAGGGCACGCACCCCTCACCTGAGGGTTTCAAGGAGAAGGGCACCTTTTCCACAAACTTCTTCAGCTTAAAATAGTCAGTATGCCAAGGTACCATATTTTGGCACCTAAAATCATGCAAGAGCTTCTTCTCTGGCTAGGTCTTATTTTCGGAAAAACAGGGTAGGTGAGTACAGTTATTATCCAAATCTACAGGTGAGGAAACTGAGGCTCAAAGAAATGGATGGACTTAACTACCCCAAAGTCACACTGCTTCTGGGTGGTAGAAGAGGGATTCTGACCCAACAATGTGACTCCAGAGTCAAAGCCCTTAACCACTGTCCCTTTTCCTGCCTGAAAAGATGTCAGCAAAATGGACATTTTATTCCAGCTCACCTGACTCCATTTACTCTCATCAGCTGGACTGAGAAACTATAGCCTCCATCAGCCAGTGACGCCCAGCTACACATGACTCTCAGAGATGCACTCTCTGCTGTGTGACTTTAGATGAATCTCTTTCCCTCTCTGAGCTTCGGTTGCCGTAGCTGTGAAATACAGATTTTAAAGTAGGTAAGCTCTGAGGTCCTCCTATACCATGAGTCTGTGAATCTATAACAACACTGGCTTAAAAATTTCTTCCCTGCCAATAATTTGAATTTGTTCTTAAATCAGTTTCCAAAATAAAAACAACCTCCCCCCCCCACCCCGCTCAATTTTCAGCCTAATTATGGTTAACTCTGTTATTTAGAGACTTATTATCTGAGCTCATTATGCATAATTATTCAGTCTGGAGGGGAAATAGCAACACTGGTAGTTTAATTTAATGCTTACCTAGTTCCCTTAATTAGCAATAAGTCTTAGCAAAATGATGGAATTCGTGGGGTCCTGGTTTGGTGGGGGGGGGGGCGGGGGCGGGGGCTGCTGACTGCTGTTCTTGGAAAGATAAGTTTCCCAGCAGAATGTGGGAGGCGGTGAGAAGTGAGCTGCCAGTGGGCTGGGCTGGTCCCAGAGAGTAAAAGGCTGCTGATTACACCGCCCGCAAGGACCTTAGTCAGGGAGCACTTATTAAGCACCTGCTGTGTGCCAGACCCGGGGCACAGCATTGGCTAAACCTTATGCCCCCTCTGTGGGACTTGGATATTCAAGGTAATTTAGATAACTCAACTCTTGTCGTTAGTACGATAGTTCCTTGTTTGCAGTTTCACTTTTCCCGGTTTTGGTTACCCTGCGGTCAACGGCGGCCTGAAAATGGTAAATGGAAAACTACTCCAGAACTAAACAATTCGTAAGTTTTACATTGTGGGCCATGGTGCGTCGCGTAATGAAATCTCGCGAGTCCCACCGGCGCACATCCTGGGTGTGACTCGTCTCTTTGTCACGAGCGTCATCACGCTGTACACGCTCGCCGCCATTAGCGTAGCCACCCTGGTTATCGGATCGTCTGTCGCAGTGTCAGTGTTCAAGTAGCCTTTTATTTTACTTGATAATGGCCGCAAAGCACAAACGTAGTGATGCTGGCAATTTGGATACGCCACAGAGAAGCCGTAAAGTGCGTTACATTATTGTCAGAAGGTCAGTCGTGGCCTAGACATCTCAACTATGTCATGCACCTCATTTCACCTCATCACGTCCACATCTCACAGCATCAGGAGAAGGGTGAGTACTGTCCACAATGAGATATTTTGAGAGAGAGACCACAGTCACATAACTTTTATTACAGTATATTGTTATAATTGTTCTATTTTAATATTATTGTTTATCTCTTTTTTTTTTTCCTTAATTGGGGAATTGGGGGAAGGGGAACAGACACGTTGCTGTCCTTTTGTTCTTCAGTCTAGTTGTGGAGGACGTTGCTTCACTGGCCCAAGTTGGCACCATCATTGCGCTCTTCCTGGGCGAGGCAGATCAGTCACCGGCCTCTGGACGGCCGCTTACAGTGGCTGCTGGCTGCTCACGCTGGCTGCTGGCTACACACGGTAGCCCATGGCAATCCACTGCCACAGGGGCTGCAGCCTACGCCATGCCGGCGACTCAGGGCAGGCCAGCTCCAGGTTGAGCTGTTGTTCAGCATCTTAGCTGTAGAGGGCAGTGTCACTGGCCCTCATATGTGGGATCCGAACCGGGGCCCTCTGGTGTCCCAAGCCAGCTCTTAACCAATACGCCACTCGGCTGGCCCTGTTTATCTCTTATTGTGCCCAAATTAAACTTTATCCCAGGTATGTATGTACAGAAAAAAAAAAATGTAGATATAGGGTTGTGTAGTATCCGTGGTTTCAGGCATCCACTGGGGACCTTGGAACGTATTCCCACAAACAGTGGGGAACACCTGTACATTCTCTTTTGAGTAGTCTTGCAGTAATTCTCATTAGTCAAGGACAAAGGTCCCCATTTGATGCTGCTTGTGTCTACATCTCTCTTCCCTTTTCTCAAAGGTAGATCTCAGGCCCAGGGCTTTGGACAGGCAACAGAATCTAGCTTGAAGTCACCATCATTCAGTTTCAGCTTTTTAAATAATTTTGTGTATGGCCAATGATGTTGGCTTTTTATGTGTAGTTAGAAGTGATGTGAAGCTTTCACTGCCGTGAAAACAAGTGAATTGTCATACAGAAAAATACGGGGTAAACGAAGTCAAGGTGGCACCCAGTTGTGGCAACACTCCCAGGAGAGAAGAGAGTAAGAAAAAGCCCCCTTCAGTGCTCTGGGTTGGGGATTATCTTGGGGTGAATGCTGAGGAGGCCTCCCTCTCCCACTCCCCAGCCCTGGACACATGCAGTAATCTGGCAGGTACACCTGCTCAATCCAAAAGCTGCCTCAGAGTGCTTCCTGATTCAGGGCTCCAGGCACCTACCAGGCGATCCGAGTGACCCTCTGAACGCCTTTTCCAGCCCACCGCAGCCTCTCACAGTTCCTCCCAGGCCCTCCTGCCCAAGCTACTAGTCCAAACCATGACATCCCAGCATTGCCCTGCCACCATCTCATAGGCTATTCATTTCTCCTCATTCCCTCATTGGTCCTCCTGACCCCTTTTCGTACCAATAGGTAAACTGAGGCCCAGAGGGATGACTCCACAGCAAATTAACAGCAGCACCAGGGCTACACCTTCCCGGCTAAAGCCCCGAGTGTCCATCCAGGGTCTGCGCAGCCTTGGAGCCCGGCAGCCGGGGGCCTTTCCTAGAAGTACCAATCCTACCTCCCCCCACACACACCAGTTCTGATATGCTTGTCCTGAGGCCCATCTCAGAGTCAGTGCGTCACCCCTCCCAGGTGACATTTGTCCCTTTAAAGGATCGTCTCACCCACAGAGTGGTGGGTGGCAGGGTAGGGTGAAGGGTCCACAGAAGCGTGCCCACCGTGCTTCTTGAGCACCGCCTTTGGCTTTTCCCAGTGGCTCAGGAGTGTTCAGTCCACATTCAATTCTCCCTCTGCCATGATGCAGATCCCACAGGGATCCCAGGGCCAAGGTTGGGCCTGTGCAGCCATCCTCGGGGATTTCCCACCCTCACCCAGCCAGAAATGGCCCACGACACCAGAAAACACAGAGAAAGAGCTTCTGGAGTGAGCAAAACATCTGTTCATGTGCCAATTTTATTGGTTGCTTGGTAGTCTCCTTGGAGCCCTGCCTGCTTGCTCAGGCCAGCCTCTTGCTCACGCGCTCATAGGTCACTCCTCCAATGGTGGAGATCTGAAGGAAGCAGCCAGAAAAGAGGGAGTCAGTGCAGGGACCCCAAGGCGAAGATGACCATGAGACACAGCTGTAGGAAGGCCGCCTCCAATTCCAGCCCTGAGTCGAAGTGAGTCAGTTGCACCACTTCTCTAGGCCTCAGTTTCCCAATTTGTTACTTGAGTCACTGCACTGACTCAATGTGATGAAAGTGCTAAGCAGATGACATGGGTGATGGGACTCTCCACATAACTGTCCACCTGTCTGTTCATTTCAGCTCACCAGGCCTTGCCCATTCTCCCGTTGAATCCTCCCAACAGCCCTATGATGAGGTTGTCCGCGTCATACAGATGAGAAAACAGAAGTTCTGAGCAGTCAAGGAACCCCTCTAAGGTCAAGAGGCCACACCCACCCTCTGCACCATTTAGCGTTTATGGGGCACCAGTGCTTGGTGATGGGCAGATGTGGTCCCTGCCCTCGGAAAGCTTAAGGTTTTGTGGAAGAAGCAGGCAAGAAGATGCTATTCAGTGAAGGCCCCCTATGTGCAGTGCTAGGCTCGAGGCCATCAAGACAGGCTGCCATGGAATGTGCCCGGGTCACCAGGTGGTCCTGATACCCTGCAGAGGAAAGCAGCAAGCTTTTCCTTTTCAACATCATGTCCATTTCTTTCACCTGGGGAAAATTCTGGAGCCCCCAGGGGGAGAAACGGAGGTGAGAGGAAGGGCCTCCAGGGCAGCACCTCCCACCCGTGTTTACAGAGCACGCACAGAGTGGGAGGGGTCAGTTCACCGATGTGTGTGTGTTGGCCCTTTTAATCCTGGCCCTGCCAGCATTTTGAAAAATGGTCGATTAGTTGCCAACGTTTAATAGTCTGGAGACTTCACATAGCAGTGCAAATTTCCAGCTTCTCTTGAAAAAGCAGATCTAGCAGGAAGGGCCTGAAGTCTCTTGCGGAAGTGGAGCGGGGTGGCAGCTGCCCCTGCAGAGCCCACCTGGACTCGCCCTTCATTGATGTGCTGGGGAGGGTCCCATGGCTTCCAGACTTGGGCGTCTGAGGTCGCTGAGTATGGGCATGAGTCAGGCTGCCTATAATCAAATACCAGCTCTGCCATAAAAGCTACTCATATGCGCCCTCCAGCTAATCACTTAGCCTCCCTGTGCCTCAGGCTCTTCACTTGTAAAATGCAGATAAAAGCCCCTGCGTAGCAGGGTTGTTGCAAAGATCAGATGAGATGATGTGCAGCCAGCACTCAGCACAGGACCCTGCCCTAGGGAAGGGCCATAAAGCCAGCTGCCCACAGGCCTGTCCCTCAGGAGACATAGCTTGGGGGGCGGGGGAGCAGAAAAGCACACCAGCCCTCCCAGGATGCAGAGGACACTCACCTCCACCAGCTTGTCTCCCACGATCTCCGAGGTCTGGTGGTAGTTGGGGAAGTCCACCACCACCTTCGCACCCTCCATCCTCACGGTGGCCTGGAAGAGAAGCAGGGCACTGAGTCTGAGTCGGCAGAGGACCCCAAACGCGGGCCAGCCGCTCAGGGAGGAAGGGCCCGCCGGTAGCCCCGGCAGTCCCCCTCTAGGAATTAATTTGTTTCATAGGTATACGATTACATAGATTGAAAGGTATAGATTACCTGTGCCAGTCCCTCACCTTACTGTGCCTGCGTTTTCTCGTCACTGAAATGGGGTATAACTGTACCCACTTCAGAGTTACTGTGAGGACTAAGTGATTTAACATGACATGTGTAAAGTGCTTAGAACACTGCCAGGCACGTGGCCAGCCCTCCTTGTTAACGACGGGGTTAGTGATGATCACCATTATTAGGATGATGATGATGTTGTCCAAGGGTGTGGATTGCAGCATTGGTTATAATTGTAATTATAATATCCAACCTAGGTTATAGGCTACTGTGCTGCCATTAAAAAGAATAAGACAGGTCAACATGTGCTGACACAGAAAGACATTGTGAGAGACTGTTAAATGTTTAAAGTACCCCAAGTGGCAGAATAGGAACATTATGACTACTTATTCTCCACCTTGGCCTGAGGCCCAAAGTTCTCATGGTCATGGTTGGGGGCTACAGCGGGGGACCCACAATGGGTGGAAGACTGGAAGGGCCAGAATGGGTAGGGTGAGGACAAACAGCCACCTTTCACTTCTTTGCTGCCTGAGATTGCAGTTTCAAACCCAGATGACTCTGATTCTAGGGCCTGGGCTATTAATCTCCAGGCGACACTGGGAGGCAGCATGAAAAAGGGGTTTTGCTCCCTGGAGCCAAGCTGCCTGGGTGTGAAGGTCTGCCCTCCCACTACCCACCCCCAGCTCAGCCCAAGTCCCCCATCTGTAAATCAGGGTAGTAACTATAGTGACTTTGTAGAATTAACTATTAACATGTGAAGTTTTCGGCAAGTGTCTGGCATATATTAATTGTTCAGCAAATGTTAACAATTTTTATGATCATTATAGTTTTATTATTGATGGTAGCATTAAAACCTAGGAATGGTTAAATTGTCCAGTAATTCAAGCTCTTAATGCTGGAAGGTAAACTAAAGAAAGACACCTCAGGTTGAGGGGCAGCCCCAGGGGACATGTTTGAGACCCAGAAGTGAGCCAGAGGCGTGGGGAAGGAGGGAGGGGTGGCCAGTGGCTTCTCACCTTGAATTTCTTGCCTCCCATGGTCTCCATGTCACATTCCTTGTCAATTGTGAACTTGTTGGTCATGGAGTGGCCCCCGGGGTAGTGCTGAGACCAGGTGAAATTCTGCCCGTCCTGCTGCACCTCCGTGACAATCTTGAAGTTGCGACCCTTTTCAATGGCGTCGCTGGGGAGCCCTGGGACCGGGGACAAGCAGAGGGGCTGTATAAGAGCTACTTTCAACCTACAGCTTTGAGAAATGGTTCACCTCTGCTGAGGCAGGCTAGCCTGACTGACAGTTAAAAGCGCAAATCCCAGGTCTACCATGAGCCATGCTGCCATGCTGCTTGGACAAGCACCTCTCCACGCCTCAGGGTTTTCATCCACAAAAATCGGGATAATAAGGCCCATTTCACAGGGCTGTTGCCAGGATTCAAGTGTGTCTCAAAAAACTCCTGCCCTATAGTTGACATTCAATAGATAATAGCTGCTCTTCTGATAATAACATACTACAAGTAGAACAGAAACTTGCCAAACTCACAAAATTCTAGAGTGAGTGAGACCTTCAAGACTGCCTTCTAAGGCTCTTACTTCACAGGTTAGGAAATGACAACCCAGGGCAGGAAAGGGGCTTCCCAGCAGCTCAGTGGAGGATATCAGCAGAAGCGGGTCTAGAGCTGAGCCGGGCTGACTTATAACTCCACACTAGACTGTTGTAAGTGAGGCCAGGTCACTGTTCTTTCAGGGCCACTCCCAATAATTGACTCAGAAGGGCTCTTGCGTCCCCCAAGGCCCCAGGGCCCACTGGTACTGCTCTTGAGGCCTCTTTGCCACCAAGATGTAGGGTACTGGTCCCCTGGGGCTATTCTCTGAGTCTTGACAGGTGCACTGCCTCAGACTTAGATAGTGCACCAAGCCTTCTGCAGGATTGTCAAGTCCACTGTCTCACTGGTTCCTCACAATCAGTGTTGCAAATTGAGTAAGTGGTGAGATGAGTGGGGTCTTTAATCTCTGCCCCAAAAGCCTAACACAGTAAGAGGCCTTTGCAGAATGACTGAGTGAATAAGTGGCGTATCAAACCTAGTCTCTATGCTAACCCCTTGGCCACCTCTTACAAGGCAGGATGTGATGACACCACTCATAATCTCATCATAAGGTCCTGAGGTCTAATGGCCTCTGCCACTGATTTACAGAGTGACCTTGGGCAAGTCATGCAGAGGCACCCCATCAGTAACATTGGGTTGGCGCTTGCATAGAGCAGGTGTTTAAAAAATGTTTGAATGAGTAAATCAGTCAAGTCTCCACTTCACCAATTTCTAACTGTGTGACCTTGGACTTGTCCCTCAGCTTCGCTGGGCTTCAAGTTTTCTATCAGTAAAGTAGAGATATTAATATTCTCTAAATGTTTTAAAGTCAAATAGTCTTATAGTTCTTATTAGCCTGAGAGCCTGGGATACAGTAGTTGCTCAACAAATGAGGGAGTCAATGAATGAATAAATGAAGTCCTGTCCCGCTTCACCCCAGGAATTCGGATTCCTGGCCCAGAGCTGGCTGTTACAGATCAATCCAGGGAAGGTATACCCAGGACCCCACTCACCAAGGCGCTTCATGAACGCGTCATAATTCTTCTCGCTCTCAATCTCGTACTTGCCGTTGAAGGCCATGCTGCCAGGAAGCAGGGAGATGATGAAGGTTCGTGGTGCTGAGCAGCCTGGTTTCCCAGCTTATAAACCTTCCCAGATGATGAGGCTCAGCCCCGACATCACCCCACTACTCGCCTCCCTCCCCTGAAGAGGGCGTGCTTGCTGTTTTACAACATGGGCAGGACCTGGAGGAGCAGAGCCCTGAGGTTATTCACCTGGGAAATGCTGGCTGCAACCCTACTGCCATTCCCAGCAATGCCAGGGCCAGCATGGCCTTGGGGTTTAGGGTGTCATCCACTCTTCCCATCCCTCCCTCCCTCCACTCACCCATGCCCTGCCCTCCATCCCTCCTCATCACCCCACATGTACTCTTTCACCCCCTCATTCATTGACCAAAGTGCATCTAGCACCTCCTGCGTGTAGAGCCGGCACTGAGGAAACACTGAATGAGACATACACCCTTCCCAAGAAAACTTCTAGCCTAGTCCAGAGACAGAACACACACCTGCAGAGAGCTCTCATGCAAACAGGATGGGACGTGTCCTGAAGGAAAGGCAGGCGTGTGGCCTGGGACATGGGGAAGGAGCAGTGGTGTCCGGCTGGCTGGTGCATCTTTGTGTCGGAGACGGCATCTGATACAGGATGGCGTTTTGAAGGGACAATGGCATTTGGATGTCTAGAGAAGCAGTACATTGCAGGAGGCTGAGAATGTAGAAAGACAACCTGCTAGCATAAGGGAACAGTGTGATGAAGGCGAGAAGGGCCAGGATGAAAGGAAACGATGGATGTGGTTGCAGCAAAGAGGACTTGAAGGAGAACAGATACAAGAAGGGTGCAGATAATGCAAGCAGAGTAAAGCAGCAGCCCATGGACCCAGGGAGCCGACCTGGAGGAGGCGGTGCCAGGGTGTGTGGAGACCCGCTGTGTGCCACGCATGGGCTGGGAGCTTGATGAATTTTACTTTGCTTGAGCTTCACAGCTGGGCAGGCTATGAGTTCAGACCCCTGACTTCTGGTTCCTGTTCAGTCTTCTGACACCACTTCACATGTGGGGACGCCATCTCCTTGGTGATAATTCCTGCCCTTCCTGTGTCATGGGACTGTCCTCTAGATCCAACAGGTTGACAGTGCAAAATATAAAGCACTCTACAAAGGCTCTCAGCTGTCTTTATTATTAAGAAAAACTGTGCAGGTCTCTTGCCATGACTCCCCATCATTTCTATTCAAAGCAGAATTCACCACAGTTACTCGCCCCCAGACCTGGGACTCAGTAGCTTCTAACCTGATGAAAGCAACTTGGCCACATTTTGCCAGTCTTCAGTCTCCAATCTTGGAATTACATACCCCAGCCAGGGGTCTTATTTATTTATTTATTTATTTATTTATTTTTTTTTTTTTTTATTTTTTTTTTAAAGATTTTTTTTATTGGGGAATCGGGGGAATGGGAACAGTGCTGGGGGATTGGGGAAGGGGAACAGACAAGTTGCTGTCGTTTTGTTCTTCAGTCTAGTTGTGGAGGACGTTGCTTCACTTGCCCAAGTTGGCACCATCATTGCGCTCTTCCCTGGAGAGGCAGATCAGTCGCCGGCTTCTGGACGGCCGCTCATTGCGGCTGCTGGCCGCTCACGCTGGCTGCTGGCTACACACGGTAGCCCATGGCAACCCACTGCCACAGGGACTGCAGCCTACGCCGTGGCCAGCAACTCACGGCAGCCCAGCTCCATGTTGAGCTGTTGTTCAGCATCTTAGCTGTGGAGGGCAGTGTCACTGGCCCTCATATGTGGGATCCGAACCGGGGCCCTCTGGCGTCCCAAGCCAGTTCTTAACCATCGCGCCACTCGGCCGGCCCCAGGGGTCTTATTTTTTAAAAAACCATAAAAACACACAGTAAAACCCCCAATACACACACACACACACACACACACACACACACATTCACACACTCATCATCATGTTTTTTCTGATGCTAAATTATATATATATGTGGTTATTGGAAAAGCCATGATGCATTTTTGCAATGAAAAACATAGAAAAAAATACGTCATGACTTTTCCGACAACCCAATATATAAATTTTATAATTCAGAGCAACTGACAGTCCTGGCAGAGACGACCCTTGACCGCAGTTGAGTATCTATCCTTCTAGACTTTAAAATGCATACATATACTTTCTTATATACAGAGGGTGCAAAAAAATGTATACACATTTTAAGAAAGGGAAAAACTGTATTAAAATTGTAATACTCAATATACGAGTATACCGATGACAGAAGATGAATACAAGTCATGTGTATACATTTTTTGGCACCCCAATTAAAAAATGTATATACATTTTAAGAGATGTTATTTTAAAATGTATATACATTTTTTTGGCACTGTCTCTGTGTGTGTGTGTGTGTGTGTGTGTGTGTGTGTGTGTGTATTCCTCACATGTACCACAGGTCTACATTATATGCATTACATGAAGCATATTTGAGAGCAAAGGCCATTCCATATTGTATACTAGGATGTTGTACGTATATATAGTGTATATGAGATTATATTGTTCTGTAACCTTTTTATGTAATGATATAGGTACATGTCTAAGCCATTACTTCAATGTATATCATATTCTTCATAGTCCCAGAGTATTCTATTCCATGTATGTTTCATTATTTCTGTAACTATTGTTGGACCTTTAGGTTGTTTCCAATTTTATTCTATTATAAATAACTCTGAGATAAACATTCTTGTTCCCGCCTCTTGGTATATACGTCAGATTATTTACTAAGATTATTTGCTAAGGATAAATTCCTAGACATAAGATTCCTGGAACAAAGGGTTTTTGCATCTAAAATGTATGTATCTATTACTCTGCTGCCTTTCTGAAAGGCTGTATCACTTTATGCTCCCACCTAGAGAATATGAGACTTTTTCCTCATAGATAAAAACGATGAAATAACAATGACAATAATAGGTAACATTCATGGAGTGTTTATTATACATCGGGCACGATGCTGAGTGTTTTACATGGATTATCTCATTTACCCCCAAAACAACTCTATGAAGTAGATACAGTTATTGTCCTCATTTTAACAAGAAGGAAACTGGGGTTCAGAGAAGTTAAGTAACTTGGCCCAAAGTCACAGAGCCCCTGTGTATAGTTCACATTTACTACTGAAACACCTTTCAACATCATTTAAGGACATTTCTAAAAATCCTCCCTAATCCCGTTACACTGTAACTCTTTTTATTTTTCCTGTTCTCTTCCTCCCTCTTTCAGAGTTCTCTCTGTCCTCTCTTTCATCCTTTCTTTCTCACTGACTCATTATAAGAGGCATATAATAGCCACAATCACCATGTAGATGCAATGTTCCATTCTACTTTTCTTTGCTCAGCATTAGTTGGCAAACACAATCCTATGTTTCTAAAAAGCTGCCATATTAATTGTTAGAAATGGCTGCATAATGTTTGCTGTTGGACTTTTAGGGGGTTCCCACCTCACCCCATTGAATGCCAGGCCACAGTGAGCTGCTTCATAGCAGAGGATTTTTTTTTTTTAAAGCATTTCCTTGAGCTAAAGCCCCAGAATGGGATTACAAATTTATGGGATCTGGAACATTCTCGGAGCTCTTAACATGCTTTGCCAAGTTAGGACGGAATTGGTTTATATCCATCCTGCCTAGGTGCTAAATTTCTCGGGACTCAGAGTTTAAAGCATCTTTAGTGCTTTCCCCAAGTACTCTGCCCCCACCCCAACATCACAAATTGTGCCATCTTGAGAATCTATTTCCTTTCTTTTTAACAATGTGTATGGAGGAAAGGGTTTTTACTTTTCTGATTATAAAGTAATAAATGCTCAATGTAGAAAATTTGGGAGAAACAAAACAAACTAAAAGCTACCTTTAATCCCATCATAGGGTCTTGTTTTTAAATTGTAATATTAATACATACTCAATGTTTAAAAGGACAGAAGCTCAAAACTGGGTAAAGTAGGGCCGGCCAAGTGGCGCATTGGTTAAGAGCTGGCTTGGGATGCTAGAGGGCCCCTGTTCGGGTTCCACATATGAGGTCCAGTGACACTGCCCTCTACAGCTAAGATGCTGAAAATAGCTCAACCTGGAGCTGGGCTGCCGTGAGTTGTTGGCGATGGTGTAAGCTGCAGTCCCTGCTGCAGTGGGTTGCCATGGGCTACCATGTGTAGCCAGCAGCCAGCGTGAGTGGCCAGCAGCCGCTGTGAGCGGCCGTCCAGAAGCTGGCGACTGACCTGCCTCGCCCGGGAAGAGCGCAATGATGATGCCAACTTGGGCCAGTGAAGCAACGTCCTCCACAACTAGATTGAAGAACAAAACAACAGCAACTTGTCTGTTCCCCTTCCCCCAATTCCCCAGCACTGTTCCCGTCCCCCAATCCCCCAATGAAAATCTTTAAAAAAACAAACAAACAAACAAAACTGGGTAAAGGTGACAGTCCCAGATTCCACTGCATCTCATTTTCAGAACCAGCTGCTGATAAATTCAGTACATGAATTTCTAAATGTTTCCCATATGCGCACAAACATGTCTGTGCTTATCACATTTTATGTTCTTTTTAACAAAAATGAAATAAAAAAATACTGTTTTGTTTTGCTCCTCTTCCCCCCCCCCAATTAGCACTATATCATAGACATTACTGAATCTTATTTCTTCATAGAAACTGAAAACTATCCCATTCATTATTAAAAGGGACTTTCCAAATGGAGAAATCCACTAATAGAATACATTATGTCACCCTGAGCTAGGCATGGAAAAACAATAGGGCATTTGTCATTTTCCTGTAAACCTGGGAGGCAAATAATTTAACAGCAGCACTTAGAATATAAGTTAAATATAAGGTGACAATTGGTGGGTAAGCTGGCATAGGGTGCAGCCTCCTAAAACCCCCTGAGGTCTCTAGTCTTGGAAGAAGTGTGCACTTTGTTGAATCCCACCTTCATGCCTTGGCCTGCCTGGAATGACTGCTCACCTCTCATCTCTCTTTCCAAATTATACTTTCAGCACCAGCTCCTCCAGGGAGCCTTCTCTGATTACTCCAACCTATCCCCTACTTTGTTTTTTTTCGT